GGGGGCCATCACTATAATTAGGATGGAGGCCATCACTGACTAGGTTGGAGGCCATCACTTCCAAGTGGAAACCTCTGGGTTTCAGAGGCCTGTTCAAGTCACAACGTGAGGGACTGGTTGAACAGGCCTCCCCTACAAATGATTTGAGTACTGGTACTTTTTGAAAAAGTCGGGGAGGCGTGTTCTATTTGAAGTACTTTGTAATGGTCTTCTGAACCCCACTCTCTGCAAAGTTGCCCTGCAACCTGATGAGGCCGACGGCCAGCGGTGGGAGCCAAGTGTAGAAGAAAAAGCAAACGAAGAAATTGATAACAAGGCAATTATACATAGAAATCTCTGTGATCAGCTCGTGTGATTTGTCCCAAGGGGGTGTCTCAGCCGGGGTTCAGCATTGAAGTTTGCAAAAGGAAAATGATGTTGTCGTCGACAAGAGGCGTGCATGTGGCTTCAGATTGCTCAACGCGCAACTTTTTTAGGGTCTACTAGCGCCTGCTGTACCGCCTCCTGGCCGGACTGTTTTGGGACACAGAGGGATTCTGGGGACCTGTCGTCGAATGGCCTGGACAATTATTTAAAACCTGATCAATGACCTAGAGGTTTGTATTCGGCTGTCCACCAACACAAGGGGTTGGCATCTTCCCTCACAGTGATGACTGTAGAAACGAAAAACGGAAAAAACCGCAGTAGTACTGAGACCACGTGACACCAAACAAGGAAACATAGTCATTCTGCAACCAGCTCTACAGCTACCAGGACCAGTTATTCCATCTTGGAGATCGCGTAAGACTGGGTCCGTCCTCCTCCCCCGCTCCTTTCCGGCTGCCCCAAGCCCAGCTCCCCAAGCTCCTTTCCACCGCTGCCGCCAATCTCCAAGCAGCGCAGCACGCAGCGGTGCTGGGGCCGGGCTTCAAAAAGAACAAGTTTTACTAAGTGACGGTGGTTTGACTTAACGATTCCAACTTAGCCCAAGAAATCCCAAGCTAGGACCAATAGATGCGATAAAAAATTCCGATTCAAGGGAATCCGTCCAACACCTCAACAAAGAGCTACACGGCTCCAGCGAAGACCAGAAGATTACCTTCTCTCCTTTTTGGCGTGAAACTGGCCAAGAGCGCCAAGTGGGCGGGGCTCCGACCCTCTTCGTACCTCCTCGAAAGGTATTTGAACCCTTGCGGCGCCCTGCCACAAGCCCGACAAACCATCACAAACCGGGTTTTCTCTATCAAATGACATGGCTTTGTATGCGTCTCTGTCCCCATACAGCCGGCCTGTCTCCATTGCGCGAGTTGAGCCTGGCTGTGGCGCGGCTACGGTTTTCGGTGGTGGCTGTTGAGGTTCATTGTGATTGGACCCTGGTATGCCTGGAGCCGTGGGGTTCTTTAAGAGAGCGGGGGGTGAGGGGGGGGATGTGAAAGTTTTGATTTTGCAAGGTTTTGAAGGGTTCTACATGGATTTCGCAGAGTGAAGGGCAATTTGATGTGATAACAACAGTATACAGCAAAGCAAACCATGCAAAAACCTCGAAAAACAAAAAACAACAAAACTGCAGACCCCATTGGGGATGCAAAAACCTCGAAAATCCAAAAAGAACAACAAAACTGCAGACCCCATTGGGGCTCTTGTCTGACTCTGTGGACATGTGGTCTGCAGTTTTGTTTTGTTTTTAATTTTTGAGGTTCTGGCCATCTGGAGCAGAACATGCAAAAACCTCGAAAATAAAGAACAAAACTGCAGACCCCATTGGGGCTCTTGTCTGACTCTGTGGACATGTGGTCTGCAGTTTTGTTTTTTTTAGATTTTCGAGGTTCTGGCCATCTGGAGCAGACCATGCAAAAACCTCGAAAATAAAAAACAAAAAACAAAACTGCAGACCCCATTGGGGCTCTTGTCTGACTCTGTCGACATGTGGTCTGCAGTTTTGTTTTTTTGTTTTTTTGGATTTTCGAGGTTCTGGCCATCTGGAGCACACCATGCAAAAACCTCGAAAATCAAAAAAACACAAAAAACAAAACTGCAGACCCCATTGGGGCTCTTGTCTGACTCTGTGGGCATGTGGTCTGCAGTTTTGTTTTTTTTGATGTTCGAGGTTCTGGCCATCTGGAGCAAACCATGCAAAAGCCTCGAAAAAACAAAAAACCCAAAAGAACAAAATTGCAGACCCCATTGGGGCTCTTGTGTGACTCTGTGGACATGTGGTCTGCAGTTTTGGTTGTCTCCTGTTTAGCCTTTCCTGGGTCCCCCTCCATGGGTCTGATTTTTTGTATTTTCGTTGGTCTACCAAAAAATCCAAAACAAAAAATAGAAAAGGATCAGACCCGTGTCTCCTGTCTAGCCTCTCCTGGGTCCCCCTCCATGAGTCTGAACTTGTTGGACCTATGTCTCCTGTCCAATCTCGCGTGGGTCCCTCTCCATGGGTCTGATTTGTTTTTTTGGCTGGTCTGCTAAAAAAGAAATAGGCAGTATTTCTAATTCATTTCGAAATAGTTATTAACTCAATTCTAATTTAATTCTATGAATTTTGACTTAAATACAATTCAACTAAATTCTAAATCAAGAGTTATTCTAATTGAATTTATTTCATTTCTATTTTTATTGATAACAAGATTGGATCTAAATGAATTTTAAATTGAATTTGTTTTGAATATGTGATAGACTTCTATTTTAATTCTAAATTGCACCTAATTAAATTCAAAATTAAGTTTATGTATTTTTAAAATTCATTATAATCAAATTATAGTTCAATCTTATTATAATTTAATTTTGTTGTAATTGTAATTATCTTTGATTATTCTGGATCTAATATTAAATTCCAAATTTAATTTATATGTGAACTTGCACTATATTTCCAATCTAATTCTAAAGTGAATATATTTGAATTCTATTTATTGGAATTCAAATTGAATTTGCAATTTTATTAAAGTGAATTATTTATAAAGTCTTTTATATCAATATTGTAATATTGTTCTATTAATTAATTCCTAGGTTAAATATCTTTAATTCAATTCTACCTTAGGTCTAGATTAATTTCAATTTGAATAATGGATTTTGATTTAATATTTTTCATTCAAGTCTAATTTAATTCCAATCTATTTATAATTCTATTGCATTTTGTTTTGCATTAAACATTGTAATTTTGCCTATTCCAATTTCCAATTGATTTGTTTATGATTTCTGAAAGTTAATGTCTTTATATAGCTTAAACTCAATTGATCTATATACCGAATTTTCTAACTTGATTCCAATTCAATGCAAATGGAATTCTAATTGAGTTTTGCTTCCACTCTAGAGAATGAATATTATTGGTGGTATGAATATATGTCATTAAAGAAAGAATATACTTCCATATTGGAAAAATTTCATAAAAATCTTTTATGTTCAAAGCAAGATCAATTCCCTAGAAATACATGCGAATTTCATAAAATCCAAATTTTAATTCACCACGAATGAAATATTAGAATGGAATCTGAACTATATAATAATGAAATTAAAGGTAAAATCGAATTATAATTTGGCTTGCATTGAATCCCAATGAAGGAAATTTGAAGCAAAATAGAATTGAAATAGAATTGAACCTGAATTTACATATCGATTTGAATTTGAATTGAATAAGAATTAAAATATACTTTAGTTATTTAGGATTTATAAATATTTGCCTTCTCATTCTGATGTATTTACCCAACTGCATTTAATAAGAGCAATACACTTCCCACTCTAAAAGAAAGAACTATGATTTTGCATGGGGACTATTTGGTAAACACCTAGCTTATGTATTTAATCATTTTTATAATTCATAATTGAATATATAGAGCAATTGCATATAGAGCAGGAAATTTACAAATTTCACAACCCTACTAAAAAGATATCATTCACCATAAAGAACAAAACCTTACAAAAGAACAACTTTCACAAGCCTATCAATGCAAGAGAGATTGCTTGTCTATATTGTAATTTTCAGCATTTCAGCAGCAGATAGAAGGCTTTGAAGTAGAGAGTGCAAAAAACGCGCGTTTCTACAATATGCATACTCTCCCCCCCCCCCCCCCCCTTCTGGAGCCCCCTTCTGTTCTTTAAACGATATCTGACCGATGTTCGGCTTTCAGACGAAGGTGGCACTGTGAAAATCTCTTGCCCAAAGATCCATACGGTGGAGCAAAGATGACCTACATGACTGGTGGTTTTGGGTGGTCAATGTACCACAGCCCTCAAGCCATCTCACATAATACGACCATGTTTTTTAAACCAGGATAGAGATGGTTTGCGTTGCCGTGGTATTCCCACCATGGATCTTTACACTAACCAGGCTGCCCGCAGATTTCACACCACAAGTACCGGACCCTCACTGAGGGCTTGGTTCCAAATACTCGCTCTGACCACTAAGATGGATGTGGAATAGTGGAAAATGGCCCGGGGTCCAGGGGTAGTTCACTTCAACCGTTTGGACGGCCACATGTGGCGCGGCCGGTCTGGGCCGCCCCGCTTGCACATCCGACCGGTACCCGCCAAACATGGACACTGCCTCGGATAGAGTCTGCAGGCGACGGCGACGGCTCAGTTGACTTGAGGCCGAGGGTAGGTGACGAAAGCTAGCAGGGATGCATCCGTGTCAGTGGAGGCGAAGCATATGGACATCAAGCGGAGTGAGGCAAATCTTTTCTCATATGCATGGGGCTGTTGGAGGGATGGTTTCACCCGGTCTCGCTCATGAGGTAAAACGTTGTGAACATTTAAGACACACGAACAGCAATGACACAGCCAACCTTAGCTTGTGAATCTGTGCGGGCAGCTTGTTGCTCGCTTCATCCCTCTTCCTGCCAGACATGAGATAAAAAAACGGACGGAGGGAGGGAGGGAGGGAGGGGAGGGTTCAGGGAAGGAAGAAGGGAAGGGAAGGGAAGGGAAGGGAAGGGGAAAAGGAAGGGGAAAAGGAAGGGGAAAAGGAAGGGGAAAAGGAAGGGGAAGGGGAAGGGGAGGGTGGAATCCCCTGCAGCGTAACAACCTCACAAGAGCGGTGCGAGCGAAGGCGAGCAGCGGCTTTTGTATCGCACAATCTGTACCTTGAGCCAAATATTATCGCCGGTTCATATGCATTGCGTAAGAGCATACATAATAAGAACCATCATGAAGCAACAGCGAATGGGTGCCCAAAAACCAGAAACAAAACAAACACAAATTTTCTTTGCTCTGTAGCATGCGGATCAGTACTATGTACAACGAAAGGCGCTTGAGGCATTCTGTACACATGTTCTTGCGGAACGAACTGAATCGACCACTAGAGCGGTCAGCATGGCATGTCACTCTCAGAACGAACGACATGCAAGTGCCGAAAATTGGATGAAAAACTTCCGCATTGGCTCTTACCGAGCATCGCGGGGATGATCTCTGCGAATCCATCGCGATCCGGCAGGGTGTGAACGACCTCGTTCCGACCTTAAACGTTCCTGAGCACTGCTAATTAGGTTGGAGGCCATCGCTTCTAGGTTGGACGCCATCGCTAATTAGGTTGGAGGCAATCGTTTTAGGTTGGAGGCCATCGCTTCTAGGTTGGAGCCCATCACAGATTAGATTGGAGGCCATCACTAAGGTTGGAGGCCATCACTAATTAGGTTGGAGGTCATCACTAATTAGGTTGGAGGCCATCACCGAGGCACCAGGGAGGCAGGAAAGAACCATTTGGACAGCCTGGGAGGCACCAGGGAGGCAGGAAAGGATCAATTGGACAATCTGCGAGGCACCAGGGAGGCAGGAAAGACCATTTGGACAGCTTGGGAAGCTCCAGGGAGGCAGGAAAGGATCAATTGGACAGCCTGGAGGCACCAGGGAGGCAGGAAAGGATCAATTGGACAGCCTGTGAGGCACCAGGGAGGCACCAGGGAGGCAGGAAAGAGCCATTTGGACAGCCTGGGAGGCACCAGGGAGATTTGCAGGATTGCCGATCGAATCCCGGTTTGGGAAGGGCGCCGGGTTTTGTCTAACTTTTAATACAATTTCAATGGCGAACGGCCCGGTTCGCGGCAAATCCTGGGGTGGGCGCCACGGCCGGCTGCCCAGCACAGAGTGAATTCCCTTTGACAGGGAGGCGCCAAGGAGGCAGGAAAGGACCATCTGGACAGCTTGCGAGGCACCAGGGAGGCAGGAAAGGATCAATTGGAGGTTGGAGGCCATCGCTAATTAGGTTGGAGGCCATCACTAATTAGGTCGGGGGCCATCACTTCTAGCTTGTAGGCCTAATTCGGTTGGAGGCCATCGCTAATTGGGTTGGAGGCCATGACTAATTAGGTTGGAGGCCATCACTA